AATCTTTTTTTTTAAAAGTCTTTTATTTTAAAGATAATAAAACCCAACGAATCGAAACAGAACAAAGCCAATCAAACCAAAGCAGCAAAATTGGTACAGAACTTCCAAGCAGGATACAGGAAGGCAACAGTAGGTGTTTTAGTAAATCTTCATAATAGTTGTCCATTCCATCGGGTATAGCAGAATCAAACCGAAACAATACAATAAAACCAATCAAAGCAGCACACTGAATAAAGCAAAAACAGTTATTCAGAACAAAACAAAAACAGGATAAAGGCAAGATAGAGGGAAATCCCCCATATTTGCCATATTTCATAATGCCACCCTCCCTAGAGATGCTCAGACCTCTCGCCCCAGACCTGCAACATCAAGCAGTACAAGCCTTTCGTTGCTTTTTGTACCTTAGTTGCTGTCAACTCAGCCTGGCTTCCCAAGCAGCCGGTGTGAAGCATGTGATTCCCAGCCCAGGCTCAGGGGGGCGCTGTCTGACTCTTCCTGGAACCCACATGGTCTGTGCCGCTACTTGGCTTCTTGGTGGGTCCTCCCGGTCCCAGCATGGCCGATTCTCAGGAGGCGCTGACTTTTCCTGGACCCCACAGTGGGATCTTCTTGTCTCAGCCTCCCCAAATAAGAGGATTCTAGGTCTGTGCTCCATGCCCACCTGAGCCTGAGATTTCTATAGATCACAGATTGTGGGGCTGGAGATTTAGCTCAGCGGCATAAGCGCCTGCCTTGCAAGCAGGCAGTCGTGAGTTCGATCCCCGGTACCGATAAAAAGGAAAAAGACAAAAAAAAAAAAAAAAAAAAAAAAAAATAGATCACAGATTGTAGAAAATCTCCAACCCTAAGGTCACATAAAATCTCCCCAGTCCCAGTGACAGAGCCTAAACCCGGACATCACTACTTAAAATGAACCCATCCACCATCTAAAAGAAACTTGCCAAAATAGTGCCATAAAGACCTTTCAGCTGGGTGTCTTAGGTGATGTCTGTAATCCCAGCACTCAGGAGGCTGAGGCAGGAGGATTGACATGAGTTCAAGGCCAGCCTGGGCTCCCTAGTGAGTTTGAGTCCAGTCTGAACTACATAGAGAGATCATGTCTCATAAACAACAGCGATAAACATCAAACAACAATCAAACAGTAGCAACAACAACAAAATGTTGATGCCTCTTTCTCATGTGCCCTGAAATGCTTTTTTGTTTTGTTTTGTTTTTTATTTTGTAGACAGAGTCTCCTTATGTAGCCTGGGCTGGCTTGTTGATATTCCTGCCTCAGCCTCCTATTCCTGTATTCCTAGTATTCCTACCTCAGCCTCTGAGGCGTGTGTGCACCACCCCGCCTGGCTCTGCAGCTCTTCTGAGACAAATCGAGAGTCTACCCTACGGATAGGTGAGTGGAGGTCTGTATCTCTTCTGTGGGGGGGCTTCCTGGGGGACTCCATTCTGTAATCCTAACCAGCCAGGGAGCCATACATAACCTGGCAGACAGATAATTGAAAGTGTGAGCTCAGAGCTCCCCAGCTATTACTCAGGTCCCCAGAAATAGAGCAGCATTGTATAAATATAGAAAGATATTTATTTTAAGGAACTGACTCATGGGATTGAGTGGGCTGTGGAGTCCAAAACGCAAAGGCCAGGCAGGTTGGAGACACAGGGAAAAGAGGATATCGCAGCTGGAACCCAACAGTGTACAGTGGCTGAATTTGGGCCCCTTACGGTCTTCAGGGGCTGGGGGCACAGTTCATTGCCCCGCGGGGGCCCTGGCCCACGGGCTTCGGTAATGCAACAGAAAAGCAAAACAAACAAAAAGCAAGCCCTTCAATCAACTGGATGAGGCTTGTTGCAAAACGAACAATACATCAAGGAAAAATTAGAATTTATAGCCGAGGAGCCGAGAGGAGGGAACAGTGGATGGAAAATTACTCAGAGCAAAGAGGATTCTGTGGGAAAAAACAATTTTTACTAAACAGACCTAATAGGATTTAAAAAATTTTTTTTTGTGTTTTTCATTTTTATCGGTACCAGGGATCGAACTCTCGACCGCACACTTGCAAGGCAGGCACTTACGCAGCTGAGCTAAGCCCCCTGCCCCCTTTGTTTTATTTTTATTTTTTGGTGAAGATCAAACCCTGGGCCTCTGTACTACTGAGGTACATTTTCAGCCCCCCTTTTTCCCCAGATACTGGAATCTCTCTAAATTGCTCATCCTTCTGTCTCAGCCTCCCCCAATCCTGGGATTACAGACATCCTCCCATTGCACCCAGTAACTTTTAGAAGGATTAAGACTGAGGCAAACCCCTCCCTCTTTTCTGCCTCTTCCTTGAAACAAGGTGTCCCACTGTAGCCCAGACTGGCCTCTAATTTGTGGCCATCCTCCTGCCTCAGCCTCCTGAGCCCTGGGATTACAAGGACATACCACCATGGCCAGTGGGAAATTCATTATTTTGCTGAGTGTAACTGGTCTATCGGAAATTAAATTTGACTGTTTTCTTGTCTGAATTCTGGGAAAGTCAGATAATAGTATCAAATAATATTTTTTGGTCTTTTTTGAGATGGGGTCTTGCTATGCTCATCAAATAAAATATTAAGCCGGCCGTGGTGACTCACACCTGTAATCCCAGCACTTGGGAGGCTGAGGCAGGAGGATCACTCCAAGTTGGAGACCAGCCTGGACTACAAAGTTAGCTCATTGCCAGCCTGGACTGCATAGGGAGACCCTGCCTCAAAAAGACAAACAAAACAAAACAAAACAAAACCTAATTGAGGCTAGGGATATAATTCGGTGGTGGTGAGTGTGGCTAACAAGTGTGAAACTCTGGGTTCCATTCCCCCACAAAATTCAGACCAAAACAAAATATCTTCACAGTGATGATATAGAAGCAATATACCTCCCATTGTGCTAGGGATCCGGTAAGAGTTCGTGTTCTCTAAAATCGAAGAATGAATTCCAGGAACAACAGAGGTTAAGGGCAGAATCTATTTATTGGGGAAAGAAAGGTTCCGTTCCAGAGAGACAACAGGGGAACCAAGTGAGTTCTGGAGGACCCTGCTTTTCAAAATCAAGAAGTGAGGCGGGTCCAAAGTGGGAAAAATTTACAATCAACCAATAAGATGAGGAGTACAGTTGCTTAGGTCACATTGACCCAATGGAATATCATGAAAGTGGGTATGAGGTGGGACAAGACTACGGCCAACCAATAAGATCACGAGGTCACGAAAGATGGACTATTTGAACCCACTCCAACAGTCGCAGTTCAACGACTGAGACTCTGTTAAGATTTTAATAATGGCTTACATAATATTGATTAAATGGGGATCAAATGGGGGAGAAAGCACATGGACTGAACAGGGAGTTCTCCTGGAAGGGTTGGGTCAGCGGCTCTTGCTGCCCCCACTCAAGGTGATGGATACCTATTTAGAATATGGTCGTTCGCTGCCTATAACATTTCTGCCTAATTAATTGTCTATAATAATATTAGCTCGGGCTTATCTATGGCTTTTTCTTTCCCCTTTTGGTTTTTTGAGACTAGGACTCACTATATTAGATTGGCCTTGAGCTCACTTTGTAGCTCAGGTTGATTTCAAAGTCTCAAGGATCCTCCTGCCTCAGCTTCCCCTCTGCTAGGCTTACAGGTATGTGCCACCATGCCCAGTTTTTATTTTCCAGCCTTGCCTCCAGCCACAATTCTGATGTCTTGATTTTTGTGCTAACTTCCTTGAGAGCCTGTTCCCTTTGTAACTATATTAATTTTTATTTAATTTAGCTGCCTATAATAGTGACACCTAGAATATTGCTTTGTTTAAAACTCCATGGTTTCGGGGGCTGGGGATTTAGCTCAGTGGCATAAGCGCCTGCCTCGAAAGCAGGCAGTCGTGAGTTCAATCCCTGGTACCGGTAAAAAACGAAAAAGCAAACAAAACAAAACAAAACAAAACAAAACAAAAAAACTCCATGGTTCCAAGCCATGTTTGGTGGTTGTGGTCTGTCATCCAAGCACTTGGGAGGCTGAGTCAGGATTGCCTCAAGTTCGAGGCCAGCCTGAAATGCATAGTCAGACCTGGCTCAACAAAGCAAAAAACTTTGGTGTGTGGGCGAACCACAGTGACACAGGAATCTGATCGCTGCCTGGGGGCACTTGGCTCTTTCCCTAATGTTTTCCTCTGGAGACCATCACCGTGATTAAAATGGAAGGAGGCTCTGTGGGAAGGACCTTGTCTTATAATCACCAGGTCAATGGCCTGTAGCTGATGTACGGTAAGTTCTCAAAAAACCGCATTACTTTCCAGATGTGGAGGCCCATACTTGTTATACCAGCACTCCGGGAGACCGAGGGAAAAACGGACCATTTGAGCACAATCTGGACAATTTAGCGACTTCGTAAAACCCTATGTTAAAATTTGAAAAAACTAAATAAAAGCTTGGCGATGTAGCTCAGGTGAAGGACCTGGGTACAATTCTTAGTACGGGGCGGGTTGGGGGAAGAATTATTGTACAGAACTCAGAATTATTGTGCAAAGAGCGCTGTGCCTGGAGTGAGGGCAGGGTCCTGGATTTGGCATCCGATGCTAAAAAAGGTAACTGATGGTTTTGTCGAGCAGGGTTTGGGGAGGTTAGATTCGAACTCGCCACTTCGCAACCAGCCCGCAGGGATTCCCGGGGTCCCCGTTTCCGGCCAGCGGGGGCGTTCGAGGGCAGCCGAGGACGTGCGTGCCAAGCGTGCGTGCGTGCGTGGGGTACGCACTGGCGGGCGAGTCCACGGGGGCGGGACGACGGAGGGGTAGCGCGCGCGGCGCAGCGGGCGGGGCTGCTTCCGCGAACCGCCTCTTCGCGCCCGGGCCCCCCGCGTGCGAGCGGGAGTGGTTTCACCCAGCCCCCGGCTCATTGTGCTCGCCTCACGCCGGGCCAAGATGGCGGCGGCGCTGGAGGACCTGGGCCTGTGACCACAAAGAGGGAGCCGGGGGCCGAACGGGAGCGAGGTGGCGGCGGCGGCGGCAGCGGCAGCGGCGGCGGCCGGCCGAGACCCAGCCCGGGCCCCCCCTCCCTGCAATCGCCCGCCCCTCCCTGCGCCCGCCCCCTCCTCCGCCCGCCTTCTCGCCGGCGGCCCCGCCCCTCCCCCAACCGCCCGACTAGCATGGTCCGGCGGCCGCGCGCGCAGACATGGGGGAGAAGCTGGAGCTGAGGCTCAAGTCGCCCGTGGGGGCCGAGCCCGCCGTCTACCCGTGGCCGCTGCCGGTCTACGTGAGTGTCGCGACGGGATCCTGATCTACCCGCCCCGACGACGGGGACCCAGGGAGTCGCGGTCGGGGACCCGGCCGTTGTCACCCCGCGCCCGCCCGCTCGGCGGCTGCCGTTGGCGGGCAGGCGCTGGGACTCGGGTCGGGTCGGGGCAGCTTGGCCAGCCGTGTCCCTCTCGCTGGCACCCCGCGACGCGTCATGTGTCTACTTTTGGGGATCCCCTCGTCCTGTCTTCCTCGTTATCTAGATTTATTGTAAGTTGGGAATTTTTGCGCGTGGAAAGACGGGGGGAGGGCAGAGCCGGGGTGGCCATCGGAAGTCGGGGAGGTTGTCTCTCCCCTTTTCAGTGGGGCAAGATCGGCACGACGGTGAAAGGAGGGGAGGTTGCCCCCTCCTTTGGGTCGTGTGGGACTGACCTCAGGAAGGGACCGATCTTAGTGCCCCTGTTCCTAGTGACCCTGGGAAACTGACAGCCCGAGTGTAAATTTAAAACAGGTCCCCCGGTGAGTTGCTTGGAGTCCACTGCTTCTCCCGAGAGAGGGGTCGTCGCCCAGTCCCAGGGCACGGCTTGTGCGTGGGTGGGTGGAAATCGGAGCAGGCAGGTTGGGCAGGCACCTTGGGGTCCTCATGGTCATTGGGGCCCCCTCGCCCTGGCCTTGGCAGCTTTTGGGGGTGTGCTGGCGGTACCCGCTGGTGCGCAGCGGCGGAGAGCAGGTGCCGGAGAGCAGGTGCGCTGTCCGACTTTTCCTGTTGGGCAGCATGTGTGGATCCCGGATGGAAACTCCCCCCGTTTCCACCCTCAAAACCCCAGGCCTTTCCTCTTCTCTTGGAGAGATCACCCGTGCGTGCGGGGCAGTAGGAGTTTGAAATTTAATTCGTACTCTTTCCTCTTTCAGTTGACCTATAATATCATTGTTTTTCTTAAAGGGTATAGTTCTGTGAGCTTTGACAGATGCCTGCGGTCTCTTAACCTCAGCTGCTCCAGCTGCAGGACAGTTCCAGTGACCCACGGCTCCCTTCTGTGGCCCCTGTCACCTGTCTCACACCCCCTTCTGTCGTGCGTGTGTGTGTGTGTGTGTGTGTGTGTGTGTGTGTATGAATCGAATGTGTAGCACTGAGCTCCATTCCCGGCCCTGTATTATATCTTACTGTAAAACAGGGTCTCAGTAAGGCAGCAAATGGTCCCTGCTGGGCTGGAGCTTGCTGTTTCCCTGCTTCAGCCTCCTGGAGGGCTGGAGTGACAGTTGCAGGCCTGGCTTGGACTCTGACTGCCGCTGGTCGGTTTCCCCAGACACTCCCATGAATGAATGGAGTTCCCAGTAGCCCTCTGGCCCTGCTGCGTTCACTGAGCAAAAACTACCGGAGAGCCATGCGTCCGCGAAGTTCACTCCGGTTGTTTTTGCCAAGCGGACCAATGGGCCACAGATTGTTTATCCATTCATTTGCCTTAGGGCACAGGATACTGGGCTCTTTTCAGTGTGTATGTGTGTGTGTACAGAGTAAAGCAGCGTGCTAGGGTAGCTGGAATAGTGGAGGGCTCCTCTCCTTGCCCTCTGTGGGGTGCCTGGGCAGTCGGGTGGTGCCCAAAGCCCTGCCCTTTGCGTGTTGGAGGAGCTGAGAATTCCCTGGAACCCACCGTGGCCTTTGAGTGGAGTGGGTTTGCCAGGTTGGCTCTGCTCGATTCTGCCGGTCCCGAGATGAAAGTTCACCCAGTGACTGTGGCCCTGTCTCCACCCACAGGCTCATTGGCGGGAGCCAGCGTTCCAGTGGCGGGTGGGACTAGGGCTGGCTGCTGGCCACTGGCTGCTGGCCGCTGGCTGTTGGCTGCTGGCCGCTGGCTGGGCCTGGCTTGGCAGGGGCTGGGCGTCCTTTCCTGCTGGGGCTGTGCCACCCGGCCAGAGCCAGCAGGTGTGTGTAGGACACACAGAAACTCCGAGCAAAAGGGGCACAGCCCCCCTCACCTGCTGCAGGGCCCCAGACATTCACTTGAGAGCAGGGTCCTGGGATTGGACGCTAGGGAAATGTCCTGTGGCCAAGCTGGGCTTCTTCAGGGGCCGAGTACCCTTGACAGTGAGTGTCCACTCAGGACCTGTCCTGCGGGGAGCAGGGGACAGCAGGAGTAGCCGTGGTCTCAGGAGCTCTTCAAGGCCAAGGGAGGCTGGGAGAAGGTCAGGAGAGCCCCAGTCTCAGGCACAGAGCGATCAGCCCAGGTCCCTGGGGGCCAGCATGTCAGTGTGGCCCCCTGGGGAGAAGAGGGTGGCCTCTCAAAGGAGGGGACCTCTGAGGGAGGAAGGAAGTGGGAATAGCCACAGCTGTCCCCACTCGGAAATGTCCACCTTTGAAACCAGCTTTACGCAACAACAGATGGGAGGCAGGAGGGCCGTGGGGCCAGGCCTCGTGTGGGGTGACCTGTCACTGGCAGGAAGGGTGAAAGCTGTATTTTTGGAGGGTTACCTGGCAGGCATGGTGGGGGAAAGCCTGAGAGGTTGGGGAGCAGGGGGGCTTCCCTGCAGTGATTCAGTTAGCTGTGGGCGGCGGAGGAGATGAGTTGGCCTCCCCAGCCGAGTATCCCTTGTCTGGTGAGAGCCTGGAAGCCTGGCAGTGGCTGAGTGAGTTGTGGGGGGCGGAGTGTGCCACCGCCGCCGCCTCCGCCTCCACGGTGACTCAGAGGTATTTTCTGCTGCTGACCTCCCCGTGCAAGGCTCACTTAATCCTGTTCGCGGCCTTCAGACTGCTGTGTGTGGGCCGAAGGCTGGCTGGCTGGCTTCACAGGCCTGTGTGACGAGGGCGGGGGCTTCCTTTGCATCACTAAGCGTGCGATGTCCTGCTGTGATCTCTCTGGTTCTTGGTCACCCAGCCCACTCCCTCCAGATGACATCCAGGGCCTGGGAGGGGCCCGAGGGGCCAGAGGGCACAGCTGCCTGCCTTCAGCCCATCCTCTCCCTGGAAGCTCTGTTCTTTTCTTTTTTAAATTAAGCTTTATTTAGTTTTTGAGCCAGGTGTTCTGGGTAGCTCAGGCACCTTGAGCTCACCCTGTAGTTTGTGCTGGCTCTGAGCTCTTGTTTTGGACTCCTAAGGACCAGCTTTTTATTTTTTTGCAATACTGGGGATTGAATTCTGGCTCTTCACATTGAGCTCAGATCACACACCCTCTTTTGAAACAGGGTCTCCCTATGTAAGGTGACCTAGAACTCATTATGTAGCATAGGCTGGTCTCAAACAAACAGCAATCCTCCTGCCTCGCTTCCCAAGTGCTGAGATAACAGATGTGTCCCCCTGTACCCAGCTACATGTTTTGTTCTGGGGTAACTGTCAGTTCACACATAAAGAAATACTCCAAAGAGCTGAGTGTGGCAGGCACACCTATAATCCCAGTACTCAGGAGGATCATTGTGAGTTTGAGACCAGCCTGGGCTGCAAGGTGAGCTCAAGGCCAGCCTGGACTGCATAGAGAGACCCTGTTTCTCCAGATACCCTGTGTTTCCCCATGTTCGTTCCTCTAGCTCAGTTCCCAGTGAGCCACCACAGAGCCCCTGCTCATGTGAGGGCACCCTGGGCTAGGCGTATAGGCAGAAGCCATCAACCAGCAGCCCCCCTGGGAAGCTTGGGGACACGTGGATAACTTTGCACTTGTCATGTTGGATGGGAGAAGCCTGTGACTGGCTGGATGCCCAGTAGCATGGGCCAGCCCCCCACAGAGTGTGACCAGACCTGGGTGGCAGTAGTGCTAAGGCTCAGGGAGATATCCCATGCTTTGTTTCTTGTGGTGCCCGGGGTGGGTGAGACCCATGGCCTGGCATATGGCAGGCATAGGCTCACCATTTAGTTACACCCATTCCCTTTTTATCTTGAGATGGGGTCTTGCTGATTGTCCAGATAGGCTTTGAACTTGTATGTGATTGTCCTGCCTCAGCCTTTCAAGTACTTAGGGGGTCACCCCCGTGTCCAGCAGTGCTGCCCACCCCCCTTTGGTCTTTTTGAGACAGGGTCTCCCTATGCAGTTCAGGCTGGCCTTGAGCTCACTGTGTAGCCCAGGCTAGTCTCGAACTCGCAGCAGTCGTCCTGCCTCAGCCTCCCGAGTGCTGGGTGACAGGAGTGCGCCAGCATGCCTGGGGAGTGCTGCCCTTTCTCGTCTGAACTTCCAGGGCACGGGTTGCAGCCCCATGTCACTGGGCATGGATGGATGTTCTGAGCCTCGTTGGTCACTGATATCTTTGGTCTTAGGCCTGCTCTGGAGCTGTCCAAGGCCTCTCTCATCCTGTGACATCCAAGATCCTTGGTCCACGCCCACCCTCCTTCCTGGACAAGAGCAGCCAGCCCAGAAGCAGGCTGCTGGAGTTTAGTCCCTAACTTGGGCCAGGGCCTGGACCCTCTGTGAATTTCAGATGCAGGGTCAGGTTTTAAAATGTTCCGTTGGCAGGGTGCAGGGGTGCATCCTACAGTCCCAGCTCCTGAGAAGGCTGAGGCGGGAGGATTGCTTGGGCCCAAGAGTTTGAGGCCATCGTGGGAAACTCAGCAAGACCCTGTGTAGAAAACCAAGCAAGAGGTTAGGATGAGTTCACGCTGTGCGCGCGGGGGTGCGGGCGGCAGGGAGTTCTCAGGTCCGAAATCCTGTGTAGGTTTTGTGCATGTGCAGTGCGGCCAGGGACATACCCTGTGGCCTTGTCTGTGGGATGCAGGGTGTGGGACGTGTGGGGGCCAGACACCCCGGGGAGCTGGGGTGCTGTGTCCTTAGGATGCGGCCTCATTCTGTTTCTCGAGGCTGTCTTGTTATGGGGCAAGGCTGGCGTGTGCCACCAAGGCAGGCTCACTTCTCCTTTGGCTCCTTCTCAGCTGCAGGTGGAGACAGGCTCTTGGCGGAGCTGTGATCCTTGCTAAAGGCACAGCCTGGACTTCTAGGCAAAGGCACCTTGGTCTGGCCAGGTCAGTCGCCCTCCTCTCTGGTGACTCAGTGCCTGGCCTGCTCCCCGATGGTGTGAGGAGCACTGTTCCCAGTCGGTGAA